TGCTTCTTAATGTGCTGTCTAGGTTTGTCATAGCTTTTCTTCCAAAGAGCAAGTGTCTTTTAATTTCATGGCTGCAGTCAGTGTCCATAGTGATTTTGGAGCCCAAGGAAAAAAAAATCTGTCATTGTTTTCATTTTTTCCTGATCTATTTGTCATGAAGTGATGGGACTGGATGCCACGATCTCAGTATTTTGAATGCTGAGTTTTAAACCAACTTTTTCACTCTTTTCTTTTGCCTTCATCAAGAGGCTCTTTAGGTCATCTTTGCTTTCTGCCATTAGGGTGGTATCATCTGTGTCACCCTGTGACATAGGGTGGCATATCTGTGGTTATTAATATTTCTCCCAGAAATCTTGATTCCAGCTTGTGAGTCATCCAGCCAGGCATTTAGCATGATATATGAGGAGAATCAAAGAAAATGGGAATTGAAACCAAACAAGACCCAGTGGGGCCCTCCTGGGTTTAAAGAAAAAAAAAGCTCCTTTGTGTCCATTTCTTATTTGTAGAAAAAGGCTGTAGCCTCCTAGATCTTCCCTGAATTCCACAGAGCAGACTCAAGCAGATACTAACTAGGAAAGTGAGGGAACACAGAAACAAAAGAAAAGCAGTCGAGAAACAATAGCTCAGCAGCAAAACAGAGTACTATTACCTCTTCAAGGGATATACATACAGTCCGACCCAAATTTTTGAATTGTTCTGCAAGAAATAAGACCCCTCTTACCAGGTGAAGGATGGGCATACATGTTGATCACAAGCACATAGACCCCGGACTAGTTTGTGTCAACTAAAAATTGGCACTTGCCGTCTACCTATCTACCACTACAAGGATTAAGTTGTATGCTGCTGGAGCTGCTGACCTTCAATACTCCTTGAAAGCAGTTGTGGGTGGAGACCAGAAATGAGGCACTCTGTGCTTGGGGGCAAAACTGGCAGGATAGATTCTCAGATAGTCAGATATTTTCAGGAACTGATTTTATGAGCCCAATTCTTGGATCTTCCCGTATCTAAAAAAGCACTAAAATCCTTCATGGTGACAACTGTTCCTCATAACTAGCAAAGGTTTCATTCGACTAGTAGAAACTTTCTGGAAAAATACGTGCTTGACTGCATGTGTTTCCCCTTCACCAAAAATCACATATACACTCACCTTGCCCCCTTGGCTCTTTGGAGCAGTTTCTCAGAGCTATTTGAGGTGCTGTCTCCCCAGGCTGCAGTCCTCATTTTGCCCCAAATAAAACTTAACTTGCAACTCTCACATTGTGCATTTTTAAAAAATTGACAGTTGGAACCAGAAGGTTGATGATTAAGAGTCCCAAACACCACCCTGTTGCCTCACCATTACTGACCAACAAGAAGAAAGTCATGTACCCTGCAACTCTCACCCCAAACGTTGCCCTTAAAAGCTCTTCCCTGAGATGCTCAACATCACTCATTATCAGAGAAATGCAAATCAAAACCACAATGAGGTACCATTATACGCCAGTCAGGATGGCTGCTATCCAAAAGTCTACAAGCAATAAATGCTGGAGAGGGTGTGGAGAAAAGGGAACCCTCTTACACTGTTGGTGGGAATGCAAATTAGTACAGCCACTATGGAAAACAGTGTGGAGATTTCTTAAAAAGCTGGAAATAGAACTGCCATATGACCCAGCAATCCCACTTCTGGGCATACACACCAAGGAAACCAGATCTGAAAGAGACACGTGCACCCCAATGTTCATCGCAGCACTGTTTATAATAGCCAGGACATGGAAGCAACCTAGATGCCCATCAGCAGACGAATGGATGAGGAAGCTGTGGTACATATACACCATGGAATATTACTCAGCCATTAAAAAGAATTCATTTGAATCAGTTCTAATGAGATGGATGAAACTGGAGCCCATTATACAGAGCGAAGTAAGCCAGAAAGATAAAGACCATTACAGTATACTAACACATATATATGGAATTTAGAAAGATGGTAACGATAACCCTATATGCAAAACAGAAAAAGAGACTCAGATGTATAGAACAGACTTGTGGACTCTGGGAGAAGGCGAGGGTGGGATGTTTCAAGAGAACAGCATTGAAACATGTATATTATCTAGGGTGAAACAGATCACCAGCCCAGGTTGGGTGCATGAGACAAGTGCTCGGGCCTGGTGCACTGGGAAGACCCAGAGGGATCGGGTGGAGAGGGAGGTAGGAGGGGGGATTGGGATGGGGAATACATGTATCTCCATGGCTGATTCATGTCAATGTATGACAAAAACCACTACAATATTGTAAAGTAATTAGCCTCCAACTAATAAAAAAAAAAAAGCTCTTCCCTGAAAGTCATTGGAGTGTTTGAATTTTTTTGAGCATGAGCTGCCTGATCTCCTTGCTTGGCACCTGCAGCATCACAATTCCCCACAACCTAATGTCAGTAGATTGGCTTTGGTAAAAGTGAAAAGTGAAGGTTGCTCAGGCATGTCTGACTCTTTGCAACTCCATGGACTGACTATACAGCCCATGGAATTCTCCAGGCCAGAATAGAGTTGGCCTAATGGACCCAAGTTCAGTTGGGTAACAAAAGCAGTTGTATCATTGTAAGGAAATGGTGTACTTGGATGAAATAATATTATTCTTAAGGCAGGAAAAAATTTAAACATAGAATTCTCTGCCCATTTGAACCACTTCTGTCTTCCCTATAGTGTGCGTTGTACACCTGCATTATACGGTAACTATCTTGATATTGTTGTTTAGTCGCTAAGTCATGTCTGACTCTTTTGCCATCCCATGGACTGTAACTCATGGACTGAGACTCTTCAGCCATGGGATTTCCCAGGCAAGAATACTGGAGTGAGTTGCCATTTCCTCCTTCAGAGGATCTTCCCAACCCAGGAATCAAATCTGCCTCTCCTACAGCACAGGTGGATTCTTTACTACTGAGCCACCGGGGAAGCCTGTTATATGTTAACTAGATCCCCTAGAGGACAGAGGAAGGCCTACTTTCAAAAAGAGGGAGGGAGATTTTCTCACAAGCAAGATAATTCCTTAGGAGATAACATTTCTCTTTCAATCCTGGAAGGGGTCACAGTAACCAATTTACTTCCTTGGACTAGATCATCAACATGTTACTTTGATGTAACACACTTCGTCTCAAAAACTGAAGTGACTTGACCTCTAACAGAGCAGTGCTCAGAGTTTTCTGAATGACTTCCCTGAATCATAATCCTTCAGCTGGCTGGAATAAAAATTTCCCTTGTTTTCTTAGGTTGACTCTTGACTGTTTTTGTTGATAACTTGCATTTATTCACACATCCCAGAGAAAAAGTTTTGCGCACACACATTGGATCAGGTACTGTGAAAGGTGCTGGTTGGACATATGGGGACGAATAAAATAAACATCAAATAAAAAAAATCACACCAGTAAATAAATAGGTACAAATAGTGCTAAGTGCCCTGGGATGGGGCAGGGGGTGGGGGTGGGATGGGAGGAAAGCCAGGGTTAGATGAATGAGAGTTACAAAGCAGAAGGGTATATGAGAGGCAGATGCAGGGAGGACTTGGGGCAATACCTGTCCTTAGGTGGAGGTCACAGCAGGAGATTTGAGAATCTGAATTAAGATGTGATGAGTTTAGGGTCCTGAGACACATCCAGACTGGAAGACGTTGGGAATATGGAGAATCTGGGACTCTGGCATCAGAGCTAGGTGGAAGATCAAGGATTGTTGTTCTTCAGTGGACCAGTGTGACTGAGTCTTTGCGACCCCATTGACTGCAGCACGCTAGACTTCCCTGTACTTCACGATCCCCCAGAGTTTCATCAAACTCAAGTCCATTGAGTTGGTGATACCATCCAACCATCTCATCCTCTGTCCTCCTCTTCAGACATCTTATCCTCTAAAGAGAGAGGATAGTAATCTCTATGGAGAAGGTTACGGTTAAACCACAAACAGGGGTAGGACTCCTCCAAAGAAGACTGCAGATTGAGAAGACAGGGAGGCAGAGAAGGAAGAAAAGTGCTTGTTGGGGGTGGTGGCAGCGTCTGCATCCCTGTGCCTCCAGCACACAAAACAGGGCTCAGAACACAATAGCTGCTCAGTACCCTGCAGGCGGCTGCTCAGGGAATGAACGACCTTCTCAGTGCAGCCTCAGTTAAGTCCCTTCCTTTGTGGACTCTCTTTTCCTTGTAGAATGACAGTAACTTCTCTGTCAGGCGGGCTCAGTCGGCTTTCCGCGGACGCAGCGCCAGCGGGGCGTCGGCCCTGCTGCGCGGGTATCCGCTGGAGGGCGAAAGCCGCCGGGACAGCTCAGGACAGTGGCCTCACCTCCTGCGCGATCGCTGGAGAGTGCCCGGGATGCGCTGGGTGGGAGAGAGCGTGGGCGCGGGGCACCGGTCCTGTGCCCAGAGCAGCGGGGTCCGGGCAGGGAAGCCGAGCGTGACCCGGATGGGGGTGGTGGGGTTGGTGGGAGGCGAGGAGAAGAGGCCCCCGGAGCAGACCGCCCTAGGTGCTCGGTGGGTCATTGCGGTTGCGAGAGACCCCTCCGGGATCGGCGGCGTGTGAGGAGCAGAAGTAACCAGGTGAAAAGGAGGGAGAGGTTGGGGAGATGGATCTGAAAGACTCAAAAACCGCTGGGAACCTTCACCTGGGACCCAGACGGGGTCCAGGAAAGGCAGATGAAGATGCAGAGGGGACTGGGGGCGGGAGGGGCACCCGAACGTCTAAGCCCAGACTGAATGACAGATCCCTCCCGCTTGGACGCCCTCGGGCACTCGTCTCTAGGGCATCACAGGTGAAAAGGAGGGAGAGATTGGGGCTTGGAGAGTCAGGAAGTGCCGGGCACCCGACCCCTCCTGGAGCGCCTGCCCGAAGCGCTGGAGCCCGCAGGCGCCGCCCGCGGTGGCCCAGAGGCAGAGTTGGGGGCAGGCTTGTCCCACCGACCTTGCGGGGTGGCCCCGCCCCCGGAGCCGAGGGGAGGCTCCGTCGTGGGAGGCGGAGTTGCCGCCGCCCCCTCCAACCCCCTCCCTGGACTGCGGCCCCTTCTTAAGCCCGTGCCAACGACTGGCTGCCCTTCTCTCGCTTCTCCCGCCAGGTTCCCTCTCCGCGATGGCCTCTGCACTGAGCTATGTCTCCAAGTTCAAGTCCTTCGTGATCTTGTTCCTCACCCCGATCCTGCTGCTGCCACTCATCATTCTGATGCCCGCCAAGGTCAGTTGTGTCTCTGGGCAGCCCGGTGGCTTCCGGGAGCCAGGTGCCCCTTTTGGGGCACCAAACCCGGGACCATTAGGTGGAGCGCACGGATTCCCGGGCGGGCACGACTTCCCCGGGGGCACGCACCTTCTGGAGCTGCGGATGCCGTGGGAGGTGCCCTGTGAGGAATTCTGAGGGGCATGGATCTTGGGATTCACAGATCCCAGCAAACAAGAACCGTCTTGGCAAAGCACACAAACCTAGAAAATAGCACAGATCTTGGCCACACAGCCCATCCATAGGCTCAGAATCTCCAGGTGCATAGCCCGGTCCCCAGGGCCCCTAAAAGACACCTGTACCAACAGGGAGCTTGGGCACTTGTCTTTTCCTTCTCGCTCCTGTCTCTTCACTTAGGGACTGAGGACTTCCCAGCTGTAGGTGGCTTCTGAGGCCAGTCAGGGACAGACAGGAAAAAGTCATGACCTTGGTGGATTCTGTGCTGTGCTTAGTTGTTCAGTTGTGTCTGCCTCTTTGCAACACCATGGACTGTAGCCCACCAGGCCCCCCGGTCCACAGGGATTCTCCAGGCAAGCATACTGGAGTGGGTTGCCATGCCCTCCTCCAGGGGATCTTCCCAACCCAGGGATCGAACACAGGTCTCCCGCATTGCAGGCAGATTCTTTACCGTCTGAACCACCAGGGGATCCTGAGTCCCATCTTTGTCCCCCTCTGGCCCTCTTTTGAGCCTCAGTTTCCCAATCTATGATGCACATTTCTTTCCAGCTCTGAAGCCTAGGAAGCCATAGCTGAATCAGAGTCCTGCTGCCACTCCCAGCTGAAAAGGCAGGTCAGGTTGGCCTGCTTTTGCTCACTGCCCACTGTGGCTCCAGCAGGAGGCAGGACATGTTCCCAGAACTCACGCCTTGGGTGGCACGACCCAGGGTTGCGGGGAAGCTGTGTCCCAAGCCCTGGCCTCCGAGGGCTCCCGGGAAGGAAGCAGAGAATGAATGGCCTTGGCCGCAGGGTGGGGGCGGTGCCGGGAGCGCTGGCCCGGGCCCCGCTGGGCAGTGAGAGGCCCGTTTGGCAGAGGCCCGAGCCCTTTGAAACCTTTTGTGGCTGCTGGCTGCTCCTTACTCATTCCCTCTTTCAGCCTTTCACTCTCTCAGCCCAGACAGGAAACCTCTGCTCCCCCTCCACAACCCAGGAAGGTTTGGGCAACAGAGGATCTCTTTAGGGGACGCGCTGAAGGCAGTTCTGGAGGAGTGGGATTGTACTGGGTATCAGGAAGCCAGGCTTTGAGAGAACTGGACTTCCACCTTTCACCCCATCCTTGTGATTTTAGCCACACTCCTGTGTTCCCTGGGCCTTGATATTCTCATCTGTACAATGGAGCAAGAAGGCTTGGTTTTGACATTTTATGGCCGTAGGTGCCAAAACAGGTCATGCTGGTTCCTAGGTGGGGGAGGAGCTGTTGGGTAGGCTGATCACAGACCCTGGATGGGCTGAGGACAGCAGGTCCAACAAGGGTGGACCTTCCACATCAACTGTGATCCACAGTATTTCCTCTGTAGAAAGAGATCTGGGGCTGTTACCAGCTGTGGGAGGGAGTCAGGCAGGAGAGCTGTGATTTGAGTCCTGCTGGTGGGAGTAGTGTTCCCCTAATTATAGTCACTTTGCTGACCCTCCTGCTCCAGGAGAGTGTGACCAAGACCACCCGCCCCCCACCCCACCAACATACAGTGGAGACCCTGAGCTAGGAGCCCCAGCTCAAGTTGTGTCTGCATGTCATTAAGTTAGTCTGGGAGGGAGGATCAGGAGAGGGAAGGGGAGACATCAGTGACAGTCACTCCAAAGGCTGCCTTTCTGCCTTTTCCTGCCTGGTGGTGGGGCAGGTGCCTGGGAGCCTGGAGCCCTGTCTCCTTGTTTTCTCCTTTTGAGCTTCTGTTTTGGTCACCACTGAAGAGCTCCCTGCCCCCATCCCCAGGGTCACAAAGTTTGCAAGGAAACCCAGGGTCGGGGGCAGAGTGGCAGGGAAGGCTGCATCGTCCAAGGGGAGGGGAGCGACTCCTAGGGTGAGTCCCCTCCACTGGTGCCCCAGCCTCTCTGCTGCAGGCTTCCTTCTTTTATTCTTCTCCTACACCTTGCTTCCTTCCAGTCATCATCTCTCCTCCACTTTTCTACCCATTTTCTGGGTTCTTTCTTTTTTTTTAAATTGCTTTTTATTAAATAAACAATGCATTCATTATTATTAAAAATTCTTAAAGTCTGGAAAGTATAAAGTAAAAATGAAAATACTTTTTTTTTTTTTTTTGGCTGTACTAGGTCTTAATTGTAGCATGTAGGATCTTCCGTCTTCATTGCAGCATACAGGATTTTTTAGTTGCAGCATGTGGGATCTATTTCCCTGACCAGGGCTCAAACAGGGGCCCCCTGCATTATGAGTGCAGAGTCTTAGCCACTGGACCACCAGGGAAGTCCCATTGAATGAAAATACTTTCAAATCCCATAATGTACACACAGTATGTTCTTTTAGCTACGCTTTTCCCATTAAACAACATGTCGCGGATGCCCTTCTTAATAATTAGGTTAATGATAAGCCACAGTTTTCTTCAGTTGTGCATTTAATGTATTTATTGAGCTACCCTTTGTGCTCAGTACTGTGCTGGGTGCTGACCTTTAAATCCCATTGTCCACAGTGAGCTCAGCTTGAAGTACTCCTCTGGTCATACTCTCTGCTGCAGAGAAGGCTCTGAGCTCACTGGGGTTCAGGCTTCCACCTGCAGTTGGAACCCATCTCATTTTGCACGGTTGCCAGCCTCTCTTCAGGCTTCTCAAAGGTCACCTGTCCTTTCCTTCTCTACCCACAACCCTCTGGAGCATTGTAGATGAGGGAGGGTCAACTTTGTGGGAGGGCATGGCAATCCACTCCAGTATTCTTGCCTGGAGAATTCCATGGACAGAGGAGCTTGGCGGGCTACAGTCCATGGGGTCACAAAGAGTTGGACACGACTGAAGTGACTTAGCACGTTATTCAGGGGCATCTACTGAGCCTCCTGATAGAAGCAAAGAGGAGAGGGGGTTGTTAGTCTCGTGTGCTTTCTATTGGTTATGTTTGGAGGCTCCAGGAACTGTCTGGGAAAATTGCTTACACGTGTCACCTGCTGTTTAGATAATAAAAATATCACTTTCTATGTGGTGTACGTTTAGGATGGGTGCTCTTCAATCCTTGATTTATACGTGAGGACTTGAAACAAGCAGGGGTCAGCCAGGGTTGGGAGTGGGAGGAGTATTTTATCAAAGACATTGTTGAGAATTGCTATCATCTGATGATAAGGAGACTGAGTTTAGACAGTACTACTGTGCTTAAGAGGCTTCTCTGGTGGCTCAGTGGTGAAAGATCTGACTGCCAATGCAGGCAATGAGGGTTCAATCCCTGGGTCTGGAAGATGCCTGGAGGAGGAAACGGCAACCCACTCCAGTATTCTTGTCTGGGAAATCCCATGGACAGAGGAACCTGGTGTGTTTTGCAACCACGGGGTTGCAAAAGACTTAGTGACTAAACAACGGTGTCTGAAATCTCTGCAGCACACTCCCTCACTGCCTACCCCTGCAGCAGATCATTCCTATCTTTCTCACCTCAAAGACAAGGTAGGCCACACAATGGCAGATAATGATCACTGATCAGGCCTGCTGGGTGTCAAAGGCTGTGCTTCTAACCACATTGTTGTCCTGCCTTCAGCCCAGTGCTGTCAGCAGCATTGACTCCCCTCTCCTTCTCAACTCGGGGACATCTGGCAAAGTTTGGAGACCTTTTGTTGTTGTTGTTACAGATGGAGCGTGCCACTGGCATCTAGTGGGATGAAGGCTGGGGGGCTTCCACACACCCTGCCATGCGCAGGACAGGCCCCTCCCCCTCAAAGCATCAGTAGTGCTGAGGCTGAGAAACCCTGCATCAGAGCAGGGGGGTGTCCTGGTGTGCTCGTATTTTATCACTGATAACACAATCCGGACAAAGAATGTCTCTTTGTCCAATGTTCCATGCATATAACACATGTTATCTTGGGTGATGACAAACCGTGATTGTGCAGGTGCGCTTGTCACAGCCCGTGCTGTGCGGGTCGTTCCTCCAATCAGCACTTGCTGAGTGTCCCTGGGGTGTCAGGCCTGTGTTGGATGCTGAGTAACATGGATTCTGCTCTCCATTGCTGACTCCACTCTTTGGGTTGGGGGGGCAGGAAGTCAGGAGTGGTGCTAGTGAAACAAATAATGCCAACTGAAGTGTGCTGCTTGCTGGGGGTGGGGGCAGGGGTGTAGAGGAAGGGCGCAAACCCAGGCTAGGGGCAGGAAGGGGGAGATGCCCAAGGAGCAGTGGTGAGCTGAGCCCGGAGCACTCTCTCCAGGCCAAGGGAGCGTCTTGCAGTCGCGGGAGGCAGGGCATTGGCCTCAGTTCTCACCATGGCTCTGGGGTTATGGAGCTCAAAGTGGGAGTGGGCAAGGAGATGTGGCTGGAGGGGCCTGCTCTGTGGCAGAAAGGTCTCCAAAGAGTGCTAGGGCATTTGGCTTCTGTCCTGAAGGCAGAGAAAGGCTTTTAAACAAAGGAGTGATATAATCTGACTTGCAAAAAAAGAAAGGAAGCAGCATTGTGGAGTGATGCAAGTAAAAAGATTGAATTAGAAGATAGCTGTGCTGTGCGTCTGGGTGGTGCTAGTGGTAAAGAACCTGCCTGCCAGTGCAGGAGACATAAGAGACGCATGTTAGATCCTTGGATCAGGAAGATCCCTGGAGGTTGTCCAGATCTTTATAACCCCATGGACTACAGCACTCCAGGCTTCCCTATCCTTCACCATTTCCCAGAGCTTGCTCAAACTCATGTCCAATGAGTTGATGATACCATCCAGCCATTTCATCCTCTGTCTTCCCCTTCTCCTAGTCTCAACCTTTCCCCACCTCAGGGTCTTCTCCAATGAGCTGGCTTTTCAAATCAGATGACATGGCAACCCATTCCAGTGTTCTTGCCTGGAGAATCCCATGGGCAGAGGAGCCTGGTGAGCTCCAGTACACAAGGTTGCAAAGAGTTGGACACGACTGAAGTGACCGAGCACACAGGCATGCATGCCCACTGCCATGCTGAGTGTTCTGGGCTGGGGAGCGGGATGGCAGCAGTCTGCAGGATCTCAGGGCTGTCTCTCCAGTTTGTTAGGTGTGCCTACATCATCATCATCATGGCTGTTTACTGGTGCACAGAAGTCATCCCTCTGGCTATCACCGCCCTCTTGCCTGCCTTGCTTTTCCCACTCTTCAGGATTCTGGACTCCAAGCAGGTGAGCAGCCCCAGAACATTTCTCCCTATGACTCATCCTCTGAGCTCGGCTCTCAGCTGCGTAGGACCCGGACGACCAGATCAAACCCTGTTTGTGCGCTCTCTCTGGCAGAGAGACGTACCCTTGACCCTCCGTGCCCACTCCAAGCTGCCCTGAAGTCAGCATCTGTTCTGCTCGCCTGTCTCTGGGGACTTGGGTGGCCCTGAGCCCAAGGAGGGTGTGGCCAGGGGGCAGGTCTGACGGGGCCTCTGTGCCCACCTGCAGGTGAGCATCCAGTACATGAAGGATACCAACATGCTGTTCCTTGGCGGTCTCATCGTGGCTGTGGCTGTGGAGCACTGGAACCTGCACAAGAGGATTGCTCTGCGCACGCTCCTCTGGGTGGGGACCAAGCCTGCACAGTAATTATGCCTCCTCGCTCTCACAGTTAGGCCCAGGGCTGGGGAGGGGAATATGGGGCGCAGACTCACAGGGAAGGGCTGACCATGGCCTTACCTGGGCAGGGCAGCCAGGCAGACCCCTGGGTGGGTCATGTTACAACCTTAGCTAGGGAGGCCAGATGCAAGGATGGTGGAAGTCGGGGAGCAACTGGGGGGGGGGTGTATGGTAAGCAGCAGTGGGTAAAGTTTCTCTGAATCTAGAGAAGACTGCTCAGCAAGGGTCCCTGCATGTTCAGAAGACTTCCTGGAGGAAAGGCTGCAGGATCCAGGGCACAAGGTGGGTGCAGGCTGGATCAAGCTCTACCTGATACCCCTAGGAGTTTTGTGGCAAAAGCAGGAAAGAGATGGCTCAACTACCTAGCTCAGGGGGGAGTAGAAAAGTCATCCAAAGCTGGCACATCTATTCCCTCTGCAAAGCTGCTGCCCACCTCACCTTCCCCCCACCACTCAGTGGTCTCACCCCTCTCCAAGGTCTCCCTACCAGTCACAGGCCATTCCCGCCAAGTCTGGAGCTAAACTCGCAGACTCACCATGGTGCCTGCAGTGCCCAGGGCATGATACCAGGGGCTTACTCATCACCTCTTCTCTTACCACACCTCTGAGAGTTGGGGTTTATTCTCATTACCCATGTTCTGTTCTGTAGATGAGGAATTTGAGGCAGAGAGGGGTTGAATGGTCTGCTGACATCACATGGGGATTGGACCTGGCCTGTCTGATGGCACCCTACCCCCTCTAATCTGGAACTCAGGATGCATCTTTCTAAATGATGCCGTGACCCAGCCCAGCCTTGGGAAGGCGGGTGGGTTAGTTCACAGTGAGTCTGTCCTTCGATGTCCTTGTGTCAAGGACCATGCTGGGCCCTGAGGGCAGAGACCTGCCTGCCCTCCTGGAGGCCAGTGTCTGAGCACCCTTGGCACCCCAGCTCTCTTGAGTGAGGGCTTGTGACTCTTTGACCTGTGACCCTTCTTGACATCGAGCCCCTCCAGCGATTGGTTTTCAGGGTCACATCAGAACTGATTGCCTAGAAACATGAGCCCTTGCAGGCCCCCGAATTCTTGTTCCTAGGATCCTTTGAGTGGGAGGCTTTTCTCCATCAGCGGGTGGACCTTATTCTGGAGTATGCTGGAGCATTTTGCTCCCAAACCAAATCCAAGATATTCATTCATGCTTCTCTGCTCCCTCCTGTCACTGCCCCCTCCTCTAAGCCTGGCTTCCAGCCTTTGTACTTAGGGGGCCATGAGGTCTACCTGCAGGAACACCTGCTATACCATGATGCAGGGCAGCCCCCAGACCCTTCTACAAGCAAATAAATGAGTGGCCCTGGGGAGGGGCCTGACTGCCGAAGGGCGTGAGGGCCGAGAAGTTGAATTCCATTCAGCCAAACCCCTCCTGCCCCCCAACCCTGGAATGCCTTCTGTTCCTGGCCTTGTGCCAAGTGTACGGGACCCATGGTGAAGAATCAGACCTTCATGCTCATGGAGCAGGTGTGGACACAGTTCTGTCTCCAGCCAGGGAGGAGCGTCCTAGAGAAGACCGAGGAGGGTGTGGTCAGCCCTAACCTCGTGTGCGTTGGGAGGGAAGCGTCAGAGAAGAGGTGCTGCCTGAAGGCTCTGAAGGGCCATGAGGGGAGTTTTCCAGGCAGATGACTCAGCGGGGACAGAGGTAGAAAGTGGGGTGCCATACGGGAAGGGAACATGTTTTTTGAGTACTCTCTGGGGCTCTGATCCGTGGCAGAGTGGAGGGGGGCACAGTGTGTGAGTGGAGACGTGGGGCGGGGGTTAGCTACAAGGGAGGTCCCACTTCCCCAGGCCCCTCCTGGCTCTCCCCCTTCTGGAAGCCTGACTCCACGCAGGCCTTCTGAACTCAGGAAGAGCAGGATCTGGGGGGCTGGGAATCCTCCAGGTAGAAATGGGAAGCTGGGACTGCTCCTCCTGTGTGCTCCTAGGTTGTACTAGGGCCTGCTCCACGCTCTGCCGGCACCAACTGCGTGCCTGTGCTTCGCTTGCTAGAGCGTGAGCTCCTTAGAGCCACGACGGGAGCAGAGGCCTCGTGGTGACCCAGTAGCCAGCAGAGTAGATGTCAATAATGTTTGTGGAGAGTGGCAGAGGGAGGGAGGTGGGGAGGCAGGTATTAACACTGTATCACTCCTAGACTATCCAGTCCCAAACCAGCTTCTGCACCCTGGTGCTGGCCCCTGGCGTCCCTGCACGGGCAGGACCTAGTTCTCTAGGGGTTGGGGGTGGCTGGGGGTGGGGAATTCTCTGGCTTTCCTCTCTGCCCCTCCTCTGCAGGCTGATGCTGGGCTTTATGGGCGCTACGGCCTTTCTCTCCATGTGGATCAGCAACACGGCCACCACGGCCATGATGGTGCCCATCGTGGAGGCCGTGTTGCAGCAGATGGAGGCCACGAGTGCAGCCACCGAGGCCAGCCTGGGGACCCTGGAGCTGGCAGAAAAGGGCAAGGCCGGCGAGCTGCCAGGTGAGCCCCTGGCCAGGGCAGGCTTCTCCTCTGTTTCCAAAAACTTGAGCCACCTCCTTGCTTTCTGGAGCCCTCTTTTTTTACAAGCACATAGAGAAATACTTTGAAATGCTGTTATCCTAACTTTTAGGAATGTGCTTAGTGCATAAAAGTTCCGTCTTTTCATGGAGCTTATAGCAAGTTCCTCCCGCATCTGTTCCTGCCATCACAGAAATCAATACTTGTTGATATGAATATTCATTTGGGTATCTTTTGAGCTCCTCCTGGATGCCCTGGAATCCTTTCTACCCCTACTCATCCTTAGGGAGGCCTCGTCTGAACAGGCCAAGTCCCTCCGCCACTCTGTACCCACAGGTTTTGGGGCTGGTGGTCACACCTTGGCTCCCCCGCTGGACACTGAGATTGAGGAAGTCAGAGAGTGCCCGTGCCTTTCCTCTGCCTCGTTCATCCCCAGGGCCCTGCATGGCCTCTCGGGGCCTGTGCTGATGGCCAGACCCTGGACCAGGTCCTGGGCTGCAGAGGTGAAGCAGACACCCTCATACTGCAGATTCACAGAGCCTGGTGGGGTGGGGTCAGGGGGCCCCTCGGACAGCTCATCTGACTCGGGAGAGGCCACAGAGCACCATAAACCAGACACGGAGGAAGAGCAGAAAAGGGAGAGGCCTTGCTAGGAAGAGGGGACATCTGAGATGGATCGGGACTACTCAAGGGAACATCTTCAGTGAGAGCAAGGAGGCAGGAAGGAAAGGAGTGTGTCTGAAGCCGCTGAGTTTCTGCGCAAGTCATTGAGGGGCCGTGGGACATGACCGTGGGTGGCAGGTGGGGTCAGACCACAGCCTGAGGCTTGAGGCTGCGGAAAGAAAACCTGGGGGAAGAGCTGGCAGAGCCGGCACGCCCAGATCCTCAAGTCAGCAGCTGGGTCAGGAGCTGGAGCTGGAGCTGGAGCTGGGCAGGTGGCCCCCAGGGCTGGCTCAATTCATGGCGGTGTGCCCACCACAGGGAACCAAGCAACTCTGGAAGGTCCCTCTGCGAGGCAGCAGGTGGTCAGCAGGAAGAACGTGTGCAAGGCCCTGACCCTGTGCATATGTTACTCGGCCAGCATTGGAGGCACCGCCACCCTGACCGGGACGGGACCCAACGTGGTGCTCCTGGGCCAGATGCAAGAGTGAGTCGCTGGCCATGACTTTGGGGACAATAACAGTGTGAGAGGGATGGGGCTGGAGGGGCCCGCCCACCTCTGCCTTCTCTTCAGCTGGGTTCTGGGGCTAGAGGGACATGTCAGAACAGGGAGGATGTGCTGCCTTCAGCCTCTGTGGCCCAGCCCCGCTGCACACGCTCAAGACCCCACAGTGGGGGAGCTGATGTCCACAGACAGGGTTGCTTTTCACCCTGGGACAAGTCCCACCTTTCTTTCCTGGGCTCAGGATTCTTGCTCAGAAGGGGAATGTGGATTGAACCCAGACCCCGTCATGGGAAATGACAACGTAGTTCGAGAAGCAGGGTCCTTGGTTAAAACTTGTAGAAAACAGATGCCTCTAAAGATGCTCCCCTCAAAGCTGGTTCACAACCTTGCTCTTTAATGATGATGGTTCTATGATGTTGGGGAAGGTTAGTGGTTAGGTTAGCTGGTGCCTCACCGGCTCACCACTATGGCCCTTCTAATTGCCCTTGAGGGGACGTGTGCCCTTATGTGGCTCCAGGTGGACCAGGGGGCTGTTTGGAACTTTTCAGCCTTGACCAGGAAGGAACCAGGCTCTGATGGTGTAGTTCTGTGCCTGGTCTTGTGAGGCTGGGGTCACAGAAGTGAGAGGGTCCTGGGCCTGCCAGTGGGATACTCAAGGGCGAGGGAGGGTAGCAGGTGCCTGGAGAGTTCTGATGGGTGATGTAAATGTGTTAGTGAAGATAAGTACAAATCGCAGTAGGTACAGAGAGAAGGAACAGAAATATGGTGGCGCCCGTCCTGTGTAGACAAGCACCCTGGACAGGGGTGGGGAGGGCAGCTTGGAGGTGGGAAGGGCAGGCCTGCAGCCTGGCAGGGCGGGCACTTGAGTTGGAACAAGCAGACCGCTTTGCTTCTGCAAGTGTTTTCTGTAATGACAGCCTTATGATTCTCCCCGGAGCTCCTCTGGGCAAAGCTGCCTGTCTGGGCTGAGTGAGAAAAATTGTGGCTATGTTGTTGTTTAGTTGCTCAGTCATGTCCGATTCTTTGCAACCCCATGCACTGTGGCCTGCCAGGCTCCTTAGGCCATGGGATTTCCCAAGCCAGAATACTGGAGTGGGTTGCCATTTCCTCCTACAGGGGATCGAGCCCATGCCTCCTGCATTGGCAGGTGGATTCTTTACTGCTGAGCCAGCAGGGAAGCGCTATGCCACTTCACTCTTGGGCTAAAGGGAGCAGCGCCTGGAGCTGGGGGCAGAAGTGACTCTCTTCCAGCCCCCAGGAAACATCGTTTGATCCCACCCTGGGAAGCTTTTGAGATTGATCTTTTAAGGGGGCCCTTCTCTTGTGGAAGCCCACACCCACAGGGTGATTCTGAGGAATCCGTGGACCCCCTGGACCTGTTGGCCAGTTATGTGTATACAAAGGTGTATTCTTCTAGACTGAAGGGCCTTGCTTTTCATGAGCTTCTCAGCCAGGTGTGGACCCCCAGGAGGGTCGGCTGGTCACACTACAGGCTTGTCTTGTGCGTGGCTCTGTTCTGGGGCCCCTGCTTGATTGAGAGAGTGCCGAGTGGTGCGTGTGGGTGGCTGGACCTCAGGAGGATGAGCTCCCCCTGCTTCAGACTAGCTCTTGGGGCCCAGCTGTAGCTCAGCCTCTGCCCAGAGGGTCCAGCCTACCCACTCTCCACAGCCCAGCATCTGGTAGAGATGTGGGTGGACTGGTGTGTTAGTCATGCACCAGTGCCGCCCCCCACCCCGAGCTCCTCTGGGGCCTGCAGTAAGTCCTCTCTGACCCCCACACCCGCCCAGCACCCAGCCCAGGGAGAAGAAGCAGGTGTGCCATTGAACGTGAGTCAAAGCAATTAACGAGACGCTTGTTTGGTGTAGAACCGGACAGACTTCCACTTGGCAGCAAGTGACTTTTAGGCCAGGGCACGGCAGATAGCCTGAGAGTGTCCCAATCAATCCAAGCCCAGATTTACTGAATGCTCACAATGTTCCCAGAAGCACGCCACTTCTGCAAAGTTTACCTTCTGGTTCCCAGCACACAGGCATGGTTCACCAAGGTCAACCTTGACAGCAGCCAAGCTTTGCACAGAAACCATGACGTGTGGCTGACAAACACCTCAAAATGTTGTTGTCATTTAAAATTTTTTTTTAAATTTGTTTTTATTTATTTGACTGCCCCCAGTCTTAGTTATGGCACCTGGGATTCTTTGATCTTTGCTGCGGCAGATGGGATCTTCACAAGGGCATGCACGATCTAGTTCCCTGACCAGGGGTCGAACCAGGGCCCCCTGCATTGGGAGCGCAGAGTCTTAGCCCCTGGACCACCAGGGAAGTCCCTGTTGCTGTCATTTTTAAAGGCACGGACTTATCTACGTGAGCCGCGTGCTCTGTGCCTTAATTCACAGGGAGCTTGAGCTCCAGTGAAAAATAGTGAAAAACAGGCCTATGTGGCAGGAGAGAGGAGACTTCAGAGCTGAAAGGCAAAGATGCCCATGAAAACCTGTGAGTTAATGGGGGAAAAGGGGCATTTTGGTTAAGTCTTCTTCTGAAGGAGGAATTGTTTTGAAAACTACAGTAAAAAAAATACCAACTCTATCCATAATCAGAGCAGCTGTATTAAAAACATAAAGGTTTTAGGCCTCCGTCACATCCCCACCCTGACCCCCTCGTGAAAGGGAAGCTGCTCCCTTAGGCACCTGGCTGCCCAGCTTGAATCCCTTATCTGGTTGGTTATGGAGAGCAATGTCAGGGTCTTTCCTTCCAGCCTGATTCATAAAAAATGGATCTTCTAGATTTTATGGGCAGTTTCCTAGGCCATGTCCAGTCAAGGAGGCCGCAGCTCACCCCAGGACCCCTCAGGACTCGTGGGATATTGCTGCTGGCTTACACCCAGCCCTCCTCATCAGGCTAAGCCCTGAGTCAGGGAGGAGGGTTCTCCTGGACCCCTTCCAGGGGGCTCAGGGTCCCTTGGCCTCTCCAGCAGCATGTCTACCCAGTTCATCAGCATCTTGGGGAAGGCCATTCTACTGCAGAAGGACACTGTGCACCCATCCAGCCCCCCGGGGCTCCCGCAGGAAGGCTGGATCCACCTGCCTTTCTCTCATGCCAGCCCAGAGGTCACCAGATGGATTAACCCAAAGATAAGCGTGGAACACTTAGCCTCAGAGGGACCAGAAGGCCTGGCGGCACCATTACGGCAGGGCCAGCACTGGACAACTGAACATATGATGCTGCCCCCAGAGTCTGCAGCCGCTGTGTTGTCAGGATGTGTCACCAGCATCAGAAAAGAGCTGGGTGGCCAGAGTCCCCTCTTATCCTGTTCTGGAAGCCTGAAGCTTCCGGCCCAACCCCAGAGTCTCAGGAACTACAGGAAGCAGTAGATTGGTGGCAGGTAGAACACAGACTCTCATGCCACAGGGGCGAGGACAGAGAGGCCAGTTCCCACCCCAGCGGAGCCATCCCCCTGCTGGATGATCTAGAAGGTGTCCCTGGTGGGTGGCCCTGGGGACAAACGGTCTGGCCTCTTGTCCAAAGCAGAGATCCTGGCAGGCTGTGTAGACCTGAGTTCCCAGCCCTCACCCCTGTAGCGTCCTTTCCTAACCCCTGAGCACCACGGGAGGCTTCGTCTAAACATCCCTGAGTCCCTGCTCCAGGCCGAGCCGCATCCCCGGGCTGGCCCTTACCCTTTTAAAGGTGGTTCGCATCCAGCCCTGGCTCCAGGATTCAGCACCGGGGTACCTATTCTGCAACTCCTGTGCTCCTTGGAAGTCTGACTTAGGGTCCCAGGAAGGACTCCCAGAAGGGAAGGCTCTCTAGGGACAATCAAGTTGGCCTTGCCACCACCTTCAGGCTGATAGATTCCTCAGGGTTGGTATTCTGTGTGCCAGTGACCCCAGCCAGTCCCTCCCCAAGACTTCTGTTGTTGAGTCGCTCAGTCGTGTCCGACTCTTTGCGACCCCATGGACTGCAGCATGCCAGGCTTCCCTGTCCTTCACCACCTCCCAGAGTTTGCTCAGACTCATGTCCATTGAATCAGTGATGCCATCCAACCATCTCATCCTCTATTGCCCCCTTCTCCTGTCTTCAATCTTTCCCAGCATCAGAGTCTTTTCCTATGATTTGGCTCTCCCCAGGGCTAGGTATCCTCCCCGGGGAGATGTGCTGCAGGGTGCCCTGGGCAGGTGTGTTGGCCAATGGGCCCTGGTCCCTTGGGAGCCTATCCAAGAGCAGGATCTGGCTGGCTTCTTCCCCTGCCTTAGCCGCACTCACTTCCAGCCCCTCCACCCCCAACCCCCCGCCCGAGTCTGCTGGGTCCCTAATCCTACCTCAGCTCCTTGGAATATAAGCACCCACCTTGCTCCTGCCTGACCCAGTCTGCTGGGACCTGTCCTTGTTCCTTGTGTCCTCCTGAGCCACCTGATGATGAGGACTGGCATGCCAGTACCATTGAAAGCAGCTCCAGGCTGCAGTGGGAGAAGGAAGACAGGGAGCTTGAGGGAGCCTTGGCTCTACCGCGAGCTGGTTCCATATTTCTCAGTGTCCCCTAGGTGATAGCAACAGCTGGCCCCTAGGCGACTGATACTGGCCAGGACGCCCTTGCCAGAGGTGGCTTCGATTCTGCTTGTTTCTGCCCCCTCTACTCCTGTCCATCCCCACTCCATTTCACTCAGTCTCCCACCCTCCTGGCCATCCTCTCTTCCTGAGTCTTGGCCTAGACTGGCCATCTGAGCTGTGCCTTCTCAGGCTTCCTTTGGGGGCACCCTCCAGTTCTGGGGGCACCCTGGGGCATATGCTGGGCACACAAAACAGACTTTGCCACTACGTCCTGAGAAGTCGGGTGGGCAGATGACAGAGATGTGGAGTGGGGAGGGACTTGCTCAACGCCCCCTGGTGATGGGCAGCCCGCTGTGACTTTCTAACACATTCTGCTGCCCGGTGTTCACACTTCCATTCAGCCAGCCCTGGGGCCAACCAACATGCTCCCCCCGCCCTGTCATCTTTGCCTCCTCTAGTCTGTCCTGGGGCTGCAGCCTGGAAAAGAAGAGCGAGGAGAAGTCTGCGCACGAGGTGCTGCGGGCGGAGTACAGGAAGCTGGGGCCCCTCTCCTTCGCTGAGATCAACGTCCTGCTCTGCTTCTTTCTGCTGGTCGGCCTCTGGTTCACCCGGGACCCCGGCTTCATGCCCGGCTGGGTGTCGATCGCCTGGGCAGAGGGAAAGACAAAGTAAGTGGCTCCTCCCGCAGCAGCTTTCATGGCTCTCCTCCTTTTCTGCCGTCCAGTTCTGGAATGCTCTGTTGGCTTCCGGACTTGCTTTTGTCTCACCAGTCTTTCCGACAAGCTCACAGATGTGCTCTTGTGGTCCCTCAGGGCAGCAAGGCTGTGACAGAAGCTTGCTGGGCGACGACTGGGGCTCCCAGTGCTCTGGTTCCCCAGTCTCTGTTCTGCCGTCTCTCCTTCCTTATCTTTCTCCAGATTCGGATGAGGCCCTCTGAAGACGCACATCCAGGGTCCAGAAGCTTCTTTAGAAAGAGATTTGGCCAAAGGGAGATATGGAGTTTCTCTTCTGGCTAAGTTATGTGATCAGAAAGGAAGGAAAGTTGAGACCATGCATATCTTAGAAAAGGTGGAAGATGTGGTCTGAGAGATAGCCACCTATCAGTGCCTTATTTCATTCTGAAGGTCTGCTTGGGGTGGCCCCAGAGTCCTTGCGGTCATCCTGGTGACCCCAAAATCCAGAGAATCTGGTTGAGAAGAGTGCATGAAGTTCACCTATAAAGCAACACAGGCTGAGAGAGGGAAATGAGCTGCTCAGGGTCACTCAAAGATGGTGGCAGAGCCAGGCCAAGAATATAGGTGTCTTGGTTTCCAGCCTGGATTCAGTCTGCCTCAGCACCCCTGATCTTGGCCTTTGGGGTATCAATTTTCTTTTTCTCTTTCTTTCTTTTCATTTTAATTATTTATTTATTTGGCTTTAGTTGCAGCATGTGGGATCTAGTTCCCCAACCAGGGATTGAACCCAGGCCCCCTGCATTGGGAGCACAGAGTCTTAGCCACTGGACCACCAGGGAAGTCCTGGAGTATCACTTTTCTTTCTCAGAGGAGCCAGCTTCCTCATGTAGGAGCATTCAGACACAGAGCAGGTTCATTGCGTGACTGTCACTGCAGCCAAGCCGGGCTAATCCTATGTGCTTTCCCTGCCCAGGTACGCCTCCGATGCCACCGTGGCCATCTTTGTGGCCATCTTGCTGTTCATCATGCCTTCACAGAAGCCCAAGTTCAACTTCTGCAGCCAGACCGAGGAAGGTAAGGCTCCTGTCCTGGCCTCCCATTCATCAGGGTGGGGGCCCTGGCAGCCAAGGGTCTCCATGAGGTTCCCTGGGCCCAGGAGGGAGAAAACCTCACCCTGTTCCAAAGGCCTGGCTCGATCACAGAGTCTGGGCACTGGGTGTTTTCCAAGACTGCCCTGGGTATTGTTTGGTGCAAGACCTCTTCTTTTGCTTTTTAAGCATTTGAAATCTTATTTATTTTATAAGAGGAACAGAAAGGGATTTCCCTTGATGCCATCAGTATTTTGGGGGTTTCTCTCTCCCTCCCAGTCTTTGTTAATATGCATACAGATATTATATAGCTATAATCAAAACATATTTCAATCTGTTTTCTGTTGGATTTTGTTTTCATGTTTTTGTTTGTAGTTATTCTACCAACATTTCCTGTTACTGTTGCAACCTTCAAATTTATTTCTTAATTATGGCATTATATTGTATCAGGGGGCTATAACCATCCCCCTGTTATGGAGCATTCTGGCTATTTTGAATGTTTCATTATTATAAATGAATGCTTTTGTATATATAGCTTTTTCTTTGAGAGTGTTTCTTCTTTAGGATAAATTTCTAGCAGTGATGGTGCTGGGGTAAAAGAGTATATATATCTTAAAGGCTTTTAAAATGTATTGGGAGATTGCTTTTCAAACAGGCTGTACCAATTTATAACACTACCAGAGCATATAATAGCTTTAATATATCATGTCTTTACCAGCAGTCAATGTAGTCATTACTGTAAATTTTAGCCGATTTACAGCTATGAGATGGTACTTATTGTCCTTGCAGGCTTTTATGCCCCCTTGATGAGATCACTTTTATCTCTTTTGTTTGCTAATGCTGCTTTGGGTTGTGTGTGATTTTTTTGGCTGTGCCATGCGGCTTGTGAAATCTTAGCTTCCCGACCAGGGATTGAACCCATGGCCCTTGGCAGTGAAAGTGTAGGGTCCTGACCACTGGACCACCACTGGAATTCCCAATGTATTTGTGTGCTTTTATCGTCTCTTCTCAGAAAGGAAAACTCCATTCTATCCACCCCCTCTGCTGAATTGGAAGGTGGCCCAGGAGAAAGTGCCCTGGGGGATCGTGCTTCTCCTGGGAGGTGGCTTCGCTGTGGCAAAAGGATGTGAGGTAACTTCTCCGCTGCCGGGGCAGGGGTAGGGTGAGGAGCTGCCTAGGGCCTCTTCCTTCACCGGGAGGGCAGCTGAGAGCCTCTGCACCCCTCCTTCCCAGCACCCCGGGGCTCTGCCTCTGTGTTTCCGTGTCTGTCTCCTCCACGTAACTGCACATTTCAGGAGGACAGTGCCTCTGTCTTGTCATCTGCAAACACTGAAGTGTACCTGAAACAGAGCGAGTACTCTCTGATTGATTTCAGAGACTAGTGAACGATCATGGTTAGCCAAGAGAGGCGGGGGACGCTGGGAAGTCTCTTGGGAGGCTGTGGGAATAATGATCTCTGCTTTGATTTACTCAAGGCAAATCTTTCTTTCAAATCTTTGTGAATAGTTTCACCATTTCCTTTGGTTCATCTACCTGCTGACCTCTTTTGTTGATACTGTTGCCATTTAGAAATTTTTTTCTCTAGCTAGGTATGTAGTGACATAGGAAGAGAACAGCGTTTGGAAGAAAATACCCTCCAAAATGCAACTTTCTTCCTTCCCTCCTTTCCTAATAGGGAAGAAATGAGCTAGAGGGGGAGGGGATGAGCTGCCTTGGTGCTGCTGTCCTTCATCCATCTGTTCATTCATCTGTGCATCTGTCCATCCATCCGGGGATAGAATGTTATAGATAACTTGGTCTATCTTACTATTGCTGTTTGCTCAGCATCTAGCTGGCAAGTAGTGGGTTCATAAATGTTTTTTTGATGAACATATCCATCCATTTAGTCACTTCTCCTTCCAATCATCCATCCATCTATTCATCTCTCATTCATTCATCATCAAACCTTCCAACTATATTTATGTTAGGTCAGGCATAGGAATTACAGAGGAGATTGAGATACAGTCTCTGTTCTTGAGGATTTCCCGTCCTAGAGATGGGGGGATATCTGGAAGAGCAGTTCAGAAAGAAGTGACACACCAGTAAAGAAATAAGTGTGAAATAATCTAGCTGAAGAACAGCAGAAGATAATAAGGCTGGTGTTACCTCCCAGAAACTGCTTCACTGAGGGTCAAGATAAGGAGTGTGGCCTTTATTCTGAAAGTGGTGGCAGCTACTGAAGGGTCGAAGCCAGAAAGTGACTTGGTCAATGTACACTTAGGAAAAAATCTCTCGGATGTCTGGAGTGGAGGCCTAAGAAGGGCGGGGCTTGGAGGAGACCCAGTAAATGCTCTATAGCCTTCATCTAACACAGTCTCAGAACACTGGACTCCATGGACCACTCTCTCCTCCTTGAAACTCTTTCCTCTTTTGGTCCCCCAAACATCATTCTCTCCCACTTGTAACTCTGGCTGGTCCTGCTCTGCCTCCTCTGCTGACTTTTTCTCTATTCTCCTATAAATATGAGTGTTCCCAAAGACTCTATCCTTAGCCTCTTCTCTGTTCACTTTTCATTCTCTCCCTGTACAATCTATTCTCAGCCTAAAGCCCTAAATATAAATTCCCAGTTTCTGGCTCAAATCACTCTCTTGAGCTTCAAGAACTGTGGGCGACTGAGAGGAGATGATGGACTTGAGATGTTTTGGGTGCCATGGTCACTGGGCATAAAGACTAAGGGGGAGAGAGACCCCAGGATGACTCCTTAGCCTTCTAGGTTGGACAGTAGGTGAGTCTAGTCACCTAGTTGGGGAGCCCAGGGGGAACAGATTCTAGGCTAGAGAGGGTGAATTCAGGTTGGGTCGTGTTTAGTCTGACATGCTCCCAGGACATCTGGGTGGAAATCCAGACAGTAGACCAGCTAGGCTGGAGACAGATTTCAGAGACAGCAGAGTGAGGTTGGAGATCGAAACTGTGGGCATGGATGACAGCACCTATGGTATGTGTTCAGAGAAAGAGAGCTGGAAGTGAAGGCTGGCCTGAGCTCCTCGGAGAAAGATGAAGGTCCCTCCAGGCTCTGGAGGAGCTGGGAGCCAGTGGCCCTGTGGTGACTGCCCTCCCTGCGCTTCCCAGGCTTCCGGGCTATCAGAATGGATGGGGAAGCAGATGGAGCCCTTGCACACCGTGTCCCCGACAGCCATCACCCTGATCATGTCCTCACTCATTGCTGTGCTCACGGAGTGCACAAGCAACGTGGCCACCACAACCCTGTTCCTGCCCATCTTTGCCTCCATGGTAAGTAACTCGGCTTGGGGAGAGTCGTCGTTTCAGAGGAAGCCGACTGGGTCCCTAGAGAGGCAGTGACATCAGGGGCCCAAGCCTAGCTAGGCTTTGGAGACCCAGGTCCCTGAGTCCCTCATGGCCCTGGGCCTGCCCTCAGTGCTTTGCTGGTTCTTCTCAGTATCCTCTATGCTGACCCGAAGTGCTCAGCAAGAACCGGGTGCTCTAAATTTGTTTATAAAGGTAACTGATTATTTCTCAAGCTCGGGAGGCAGCGCTGGCACCAAGGAGCCCATGGGGGAATGATAGAGGGGCTCTCAGAATGTAGCACAGGTGAGCGGGAGGCCTGCAGGACAGGGGTCACCACTGGCTGGAACCCACCAGGAAGAGATCTTGGGGGAATTGGAGCCTGGGGATGGCGGGAGGGGAGAGGACGTTCTGCGGAGATGGAGTAGTGGCACCTTCGGGAGGCCAAGTAGTGGCAAAGGGTAGTGGACCCAGCAGGACAAAGGCAGAGACTACCCAGCTGGACAAAGCCCATGTAAAGGAGATGGTTGCAGGACTGAAAAGTCCCAGAAGCCCTGCTTGGCAAGCTCAGGGATCGTGGAGCAGTGTGCCCTGAACCTAGAGAGCTTGTGAATGAGGGTGCTGAGGGTCAGGCTAAAGAACTATGTTCTCTGGGCAAGCGTAGTTTTGAGCTGGGCCTGAGAAGAAAGCAGAGCGTATAGGAAGCTCGATTGCCATCTTTTCTTGCATTTCCTTCTGTCACTCATCACATGGCAGTACCAACTCAAGGTGGCACAAAAAAAGGCCTAGGTTTAGAGTCAGAAGACCTGAGTTCAAGTTCAGGATCTTCCAAACACATCACTCAAGTTCTTTCTCCTATGCGTGCGCTGAGGGTCAAGTAGGCTGAGGGCTATGAAAACCCTCTGTAGATGGGAAATGAGCCTGGGAGAAGCTGGGGCTCACTACCCTTTGACGTTCTGGAGTTGGGAGGACAGACTTACAAAGGCCTCAGCACAGGACTGAAGTTGGTAAATTTTCATTCAGTTGCCAGGGTGTCCATGTGTATACAAAGCAAACTCAAGTGACTTTCTCCTTTCCAAGAGAAGATGAAAGAGTTAGGAAGAGCAAAGTGGCCCATCTGCCCCACCCCTCAGCAGGGGGCCCAGAACAAAAGGATGCCAAGGGGCCTCTTTTGATGCTGATCATGCAGCAGTGAAGGCTCCCTCCACACACAGAGGCCTGGCTTTCACTCCCAGACCAGTCAGATAAATGGGGGTCTTCATCAGAGCAAGTGGTCAGGCCTTTTGGAAACAAGCTTCTCTAGAATCAGAAGCCCTGAATTAGATTCCCCACAGGCCTCACAATCCTGGCTCAGCACCACATGTGGGCAAGGGGAAGGGGGTGACTTCCCAGCTTGGTCCAGAGACACGTGGGGTGCATACATCATGGGGGAAACCAGGAAGGAAATTGGCTTTTCCGAGACCTGTTTACTCACAGGAACTGTAACCTGAAACCCGCTCATACCCCTTGACTCTGGGAATTTTATATTCTGGAGTCTATCTTAGGCAAATCATTAGAGATGCTTACAAGTTTATATATAAAGATGCACATCACGGAACTGTGATAAAAAATACTTCCATAATAGTAGGGGATTGGTGAAATAAGTTATCATATATTCATACAATGGAATACTATCAAGTCATTAAAAAAAATCATAGTCTTGAAGGATACTTCATAAAATGGGGACATGTAATTTGTCAAAGCTGAAAATGTGTACATACACATGGCTGGAAAACGTCTAATAATACAAAGAGCATACAGACTCTTACCCTTTAGGCTCCTCCCTAGAGATAACGCCTATTATTAATTTCTTAGATATCTTTCTGGATGTGTTAGACACACACATACATGCAAGCATACACACACTCTCTTTTTAAAAAATGGCATTATTTCATAGTCCTGTTCTGCACCTTAATATATTACATTTTATCATATATGTCAGAGATCATTCCATTGTTAAAACGTAAAACCTACTCAATTCTTTACAGCTGCAAACGATTCCATTGTTTGTGTATATATGTATATTATTTGACCATCCTGCTACTGATGGCTGTTGAGACCATTTCCTGTGTGTCGTGCTGTTACAGTGTTGCACTGAACCGCTCTGCATGTGTGTCTGCCCTCAAGTGCATGTAGATCCACATGATGGATTATTCACTTTGGTAGATACTGACAGACATTACAAATTATATCACTGATTTATTCAACAAATATTTATGAGCATCTGTCTGCTCTGTAGGTGTGGCTGAATTTTAAGCTTTAGAGTAAAAAAGATGGATACCAAATTCCATATACAAAATGAACCCAAATGTGTACAGAAACACATACATACTGAGGCACATACACAGGTGAGAGACGTGGTCCCTACCGTCCAGGCTCTCTCTGTCTGCACCAGGATAGACAGATGTGCTCACGTGGGAGGCAGGAGCATCCAGCACAGTCTCTGGCATATAGTAGGTGCCCAAGAAATACATGTTGAATGAATCAAGGGGGTCCAAAAAGGCGTGTTGGGGAGTTTAGCCTTCAGGGTCCAGCAGAGTTACCATCCAGGTGTGGCAAAGGGTAGTGGACTCAGCAGGACGAAGGCACAGAGGTGGGAATGCGCTTAGTATGTTAGGGAAATGCTCTCAGACTGATGGTCCCGGGAGCTTTGTTTTCTGCATCTGTGACATTGTGATGCTGTGTTTTCCCCCAGTCACGTTCCATTGGCCTCAACCCGCTGTACATCATGATCCCCTGCACGCTGAGTTCATCCTTTGCCTTCATGTTGCCCGTGGCCACCCCACCTAATGCCATCGTGTTTTCCTATGGACACCTCAAGGTTTCCGACATGGTAAAGCCGCTGCTTTTGTTCACTCCCATCAGCTATGATCCTTTGGTCCTGAGGGATACCCTGTGATGCTAAACAGTTTGGAACCAAACGTCCAGACCTAACTCCTTCTTTGCATTTATAGGCAACTTTTTCATCTTTCTGACACCATCTCTTATTTCATAGACTGTTCTGCCTCTCAAAGCTGAGAGGTAGGTTACAGAATCTCCCACCATGAGGTGCCCAAGCAGCTGTTACGGGAACCTTCAGTGAGCACTTGGAGGGGGTGAGGGTGGGGGTCCCATATGGCCAACGTAGACGTCACAGATTAGCAAGAACACAAGAGGAGAGTCAGGAGGGGCGAGGCTGAGGATAGGGGATACACGAATGGCAGCCAAAGAGGCTATAGATGGAGGCAGTGGCGGCAGGTGGGTGGGGGGCAGGCTCGGGGCTCGGGGATGGGACACCGCTGCCTGGGAGGAGCAGGTGCTGCCCTAGAAACAAACGCAGCCAAAGGAGGGACTCTTCTGGCAGGAGGAGGGCAGGTCTGCAGCTGCAGAATGGGGAGAGGCCAGTGTGCAAACAGGGGCGGCCAGTGAAGAGGGAACGTCCCCCGGCCCTTCAGGCATCAGTTATCTCAGCACCACTGCGGGGTACCTTCGGGACTCTAGGGGGCATTCTCACACAGACGGCAGTCCCAGAACCCAGGGACTGCAGGCTCAATTCTGATCCCCAGTGAAAAATCTGCCACACGGTTTGAGGACAGTGGTTAGTGACCACGCAAAGAAGGCAGCTCAGGCTCTGGAAAGGCCGGTGTGCGTCTGTGGGAGGGCGAAGGCGCTGGGGTGAGCCCTGGACCTGGAGTCAGACCAGGCTCTTCAGTAACTCGCTTGCCTCCCTGAGGCCCAGTTTTCCAGGCGTCCCAGTGGGCCTGAAGAGTCTGCCTGTCCTGCCTGTTTCCCAGGCTGCTTTGAGCAGTGATGACTTGTACTGGATGCACTGGACGTGAAGTTACGCTGCCTGTGGGTGGGGTGAGGACAGAGTCTGGCCTGGGGATGGGAAGCCCAACCAACAGCTTTGGTTCCCTTCTCCAGAGCATGGATCCCCGTGTCCCACTCACCTTTGTTCTGACAGCCTGGCAGACCCAAGGGTGCTAACTTTGACCCTGTTCTTTTCCAGATGAAAACAGGACTAATAATGAACGTCATTGGAATCACCTGTTCATTTTTGGCCATCAACACCTGGGGACGGGTCATATTTGACTTGGACCAATTCCCTACCTGGGCTAATGTGACAGCACACTGAGACTTTGGAAAAGTTGCAAGACCATGACCACGGCTCCCACCCTCCCAAGGACTCTTGAACCTTCCAGTATGACTTGCCACAGAGCTTTGGGGTCCATGTCCCAAAGTGACCCCATGATGCCTGCACCCTATGGAGACCCAGCCAACAGGCCAACTCTTCCTCCAGGCCTGGGGTCTCAGCTAGGGATGGGCTTTGAGAGGGCAGGCTCCGAAGTGAAGGGAGCCTGCCGTGAGTATGCTGGCGTCCGTCTTTGCTGGGGGCCTGCCATCACCTCTGGGATGGTCAAGGTCCCGTTCCCACTCAGCCTCGAGCTGGCCCCCTGGGGCTGGGCTCTGGGATTCATTTGTCATCCACATGGGAATCAGATCCCAGCTTGGGAGGTGAGAAAACAAACTTCCAGGCCCTGTGCCTCTCCCAGCTGCCCTTAGGCTGCCTCGGATCCCTCCTGGCACTAGGAGGGGTCAATCCACAGCCCAGGGACGGAGTGTCAGGTCCTGGGCAGCTCCCCACTGCTAGAGTGAGAGTGGGAACGAGAGCCTCCTGGGACCACTGGGAGTATGGTGCCACCACCATACTCAAGGATGAGGAACTTGAGTTGCTAACTTCTGGATGACACTACCTGCTGCACCCCACTTGTAATCTGCTCGATTGTAACTGACGATTTAGACCCCCTCCCCAGCTCTGCAGGACACCTCCTCAGACCCCTTCGTGGTCTGGCTGACATTTATCGGGATCCTCCCCAGCAGGTTAGTTTGGCTCTCCCAGAAGATGCTTTCCTGCTCCATGACAGCTGGGGTCACACTACACATGGGCTCCTCTGGGCCCATAGCTGGAGACCGAGGTCCGCCCTCACCTGCAGGTGCAGGGGGATGGACAGCTGTTAACTGCCAAGAGCAGGCTTCCTTCAGAGTCTGTCTGTCAGGCCAGAGTTTGGGCTTCTCTGGGGAAAGCTCCCTTTGCTGATTGGCCTTGACAGCCAAGCCTGGTACTGGCAGAGCATCACTGAGAACCAGCAGCGCCCAGTGGTGCCCGAGCAGATAGCCCCTGCCCATGCGTGCATCCACCTGAAGTTGTGGGAAGAAGACTCCAGAGTGGCCTGGGAACCCTCAGAACCTTGGGGAGAGAAGCGTGGGAGAGTTCTGTCCTCCTGACCACCAACCCAATTTTCTTTCCTTCCTGTGCTCCGCCATTGATGTTATTTCTCAGAGCAGGAGAAAGTCTGGGAACCTAAGGACCCCGATTCTCTCTCCTCGAGGACCAAGCTTATACCACCTGGTTCCTTGGGGTGGGGTGATTCCTGACCGTCCTGTCTCCCATGGGAGGTGCACCCGGCTGTCTCTGGCTTTCTGCTGTGTGCAGGACGGTGGGGTGGGGAGAGGCAGGTGGATGAATGAACACTTACACATTGCCCACTTCCCGTGTGCCAGGCCTCCCCGTGCCCTGCTAATGATCTCATTCAATCTTTGCTGCAACCTGTGAGATAGGCAGGTGTTATTAACCTCCTCTGTCCTTCATTAGTACTGGGGCTCAGAGAGGCCACATCATGTCCAGTAGTCACACATCCAGTTAGTGGCAGCTGAGGTTCTGATTCAGACCTGCCACCGCCATGTCCACTGCTGCTTCCTCTAGCCATTAAGGGCCTTGGCCTTGTAGGGCCTGTAGGGAAAGGTGGGTGACCAAGAGCAGGTCTACCCAAGGCCCTGCCTGCTCAGGGATCATCCACAAGAGCCCCTTGCTGCTGCCTCCTCTGAGATGGGCTCAGGGCTGTCCTGGAACAGACAGGGGTGGTCTTTGCCCGAAGAAACAAAGCTTTTGGTTGGAGAGAGCAGCATGGAAACGGGCCACCTGCTCTCCCACCAGGGTGAAACCGCACCACCCCTTTATCACTACTCCCCACATTGCTGCTGCTGACATGTCTGCCCGCTCCACCTCCCTTGCCCCCCCAGTGAGGACTTGCACAGCCTGCTGGGTCCAGTGCCAGCACTACAGCAGGCCACCACAAGTGTGATTAGTAAATAAATGATCAGTATGGTCAATTAGATGCACTCCTGGTGGTAAGTAAGCAAGGTCAGTGAAGGTCATCCAAGTGGGCAGTGAAGGATGAGTAAGACTGGCCGAGCTGATGGGGGAGGATGTGGTGGCATGGGGGAAAGCGTGGGGAGATGCCATCTGATTGAAGAGTGATAAAGCTGGGTGGTGCTTCAGGAGAGCAGATTCCAAGGTTGAGGAGGCTGACCAAAGGCTGTTTCTAAACAGCTTCTCTTGGAGTTGCACTAACACTTGTGGCCAGTGTCGATCTGGATTGTTTTCAGCTGCAAGTAAGAGGAAACCTAGCTAGCAGTGACTTAAATTCTAAGGGCGGCATTTGTCGCTCAGTCGTGGCCAACTCTTTGTGACCCTGTGGACTGCAGTGTCCCAGGCTTGCCTGTCCTTTACCATCTCCTGGAGTTTGTTCAAACTCATGTCCCTTGAGTTGATGATGCCATCCTATTAAGGGCATTTTATGTCTACTTAACAAGAAGTCTGGAGCTAGACAGTTACTGGCACAGGACCAGCAGCTCACTTGGGCCACCAAAGACTCAGGCTTGACCATCCACTCTGCCATCCTAAGGATACTGTGGCTTTACTGTCATGCTTGACTCACACTATATACACCTGCATTGAAGGCAGGTGTACGGGATGGGGGATGGTAGTGCATACTGCATTTTCCCCTTTTGGTAGGAAAGCAAATGTTTTCTCAGAAAGCCCCTACAGTCCTCCTTTTATGTCTTGTCGGCCAGAACGAAATCATCTGCCCACATTGAGGCCAATTACTGACAAAGAGGAACTGGAATACATGAGACCAATTAGGATACATCTTTTAGGCTTGGGAAATTGGCCTATGTTTCCTGAAATCAAGCGATATCCACCTAATATGAAATATGAGTCTGGCAGGAGAAAAAAAAAGGCTGGGAGCCCTTGGGTAGGTGATAAACCAGGGTCTGGTATTATGACTCTTTCAGAGGGCTGCCCTCACTGCAGGGTACTTGAGTGGCTCCCTTTCCATGGAATTCAGTAGAAACACACTCTGTAAGTGTTTGGTCAAGAATTTCACCTCTGCCTCCACTTCCAGGAGAACCACTGGTTCAGGAGGCTAGAGTCTGAGTCATGGACCAAGCTCAGTCCTGATGTCAGATACTGAATAAGTAAGCCCAGTCTCTGAGCCTCAGTTTCCATCAGGGAGGGGCTGGACTAGAGCATCTGTCAGGAGGGCCTTTCCCCAGAGTCATGTCAACCCTTAGCCCACTGACCCTTCACTTGCTTGGGCCAGGTGCAGCCCCATGGTGTCTCAGCTTAAAGCCTGTTACATGGCGTGTTCCCTGCCCCCATCTGGGTCTCAGCCATTTGCTGAAAAACTCTGAAAGATTTTCCCCATTGATATTTTGCCTCTTCCATTTTGTTAAGAGGTTCAACCCGAGACCCTTGATTTCTCTCAGCACATATCAGACATATGGGCCCAAGGTGAGCTGAACACATATCTTGACCATATGTGTTGCTCTCTGAACTGTTTTGCCAAGCACTTAGGACTCCACAAGGATGCTATGCATTCCAGGGTTCCTTGTTGGATCCTGGAATTGGGATCCTTCCCTGTCCCTCTGAGCTGAGAACTTCCTTAGGGCCTCCTCTGGCAAAGCCAGTGAGCAGGGCATCTCCCTGGCAGGTGAAGTCTCCTCCCTACCATTGCTAATGCACAAAAATTATGGATAATGAAGCTGTTGCTCTGCAGGGAGTCAGCACAGTGGCACAGAGTCCAGTTCTCAAAAAGAATACAGACATTCTCAGGTAGGACCCTTGATGGCACATTCTTGTTTCTGGAAATAAAGACCAAACACTGGATTGTCTGGTTAAAAACTACACCTGGCAGTCCTATTCTTAGCTCAGAACTCCTAGGGTACTGTCTCCCTTGGTCCAGTATCATCTTAAAAGCCTTGTTTTTTTTCCACCAATGAAGCATTTTTTCACATTCAAAAAAAATTTCATCAAGATAAATCTTCCACATCATGGGATGGGTTTTTATATTCTTCAACAGAAAGCTTATCATTTATGGCTGAAATCCTTGTGCCCAGATAGATAGATACTTGCTTTATTTCCCGTGGTGTCCTGACCCAGGATTCAGGTTCTCACTTCCCTGCCCTGGGCATGCCTTCCAGGAGCTTCTCTGATAGGCTTGTGCACATGCTGACCTCCACTTTCAGAGACACAGGCCTCCCACTGCTGGGCAGTATTAGAGCAGCAGTTTTGTCTCTGCTTCCAGCTACCAGAGAAAGCTTCCCTGGTGGCTCAGAGGTAAAGAATCAGCCTGCAATGCAGGAGACCTGGGTTCAATCCCTGGATCGAGAAGATCCCATGGAGGAGGGCATGGCAACCCACTACAGCATTCTCGCCTGGAGAATTCCATGGACAGAGGAGCCTGGCAGGCTGCAGTCCTAGACTTGCAAAGACCTGGACATGACTGAGCAACTAACACACAGACACTTTTTCAGCTACCAAGGGCAGAGAAATACAACATCCCAACCTCCGGAGAGCCTGTTATCCAATCAGGAAATTTTAGCTAGTTTTTATATCTAAAAAGTTAACATGAACACAATGAAAAAGAAATTCCAACAAGTCAAAAAAGCACTGAGATATGCCCCTCCCCTTCAGACCTTGGGGCCTCCAGGCCCTTCCAGAAAGGCAACACTTGTCCAGCAGTTTCTTACATGTCCTTCCAGACGTGTTACATATACAGTTAGCTCTCGGGGGTTGGCTCCAGGATCCCCGGGGTACCAAAATCTGCAGATGCTCCAGTCCCTTATATTAAATGGCCTAGCTCGGTCAGCCTTCCATGTCCGTGGTCCTGCATGGTGGTTCTTCCTTCTGGGAGCGTACTATACGCATCTTCTGTCCTTGTTGATATTCCTCCCCATTAATTGATTTGGAGATCTTTCCATTCAGCACGTATGAAGTTAGACTCCCCCTCCCTCATTCGATAGTTAATTTTGCTTTTATTTTTTAAAATTATTATCATTTGGCTGCTCCCTGCAGCTTGTGGAATCCTAGTTCCCTGACCAGGGATTGAATCCAGAACCCTGGCAGAGAAAGCACCGAGTCGTAACCACTAGACCACCAGGGAATTCCCAGTTTTGATTTTAAAGTGAGGTAAAATGAGATGTGACTCGCACAGATCTGAAGTGTACAATTCAGGGATTGTATACACTGTATACAACATGTAAGCAGTACCTTATTTCCATTTCCGAATGCCCTGAAGTTTCTCTTGCCCCTTCTAGGAATCTGCACCTTCCTGAGGCAATCATTGTTATGATTTCTATCACCATGGGTTGGTTTTGCCTGTTGAAATTCACATCAATGGAATCATACAGTACACACTCTGGTGTCTGATTTATTTTGTGCAACACATCGCTTTAGAAATTCATTTCTGTTGTGTGTATGCATTCCTTCCTTTCTTTGTTGTGCTAAGTAGTTTCTCATTGTATGACTATGCCACAATTTGTTTATTTTTCTCTGATGGACATTAGTTTAGCTCTAATTGAAGACTACCTGAATAAAGCTGTTATAAAATTCTCTGCACAAATCTTTTTGTGGACATGTGTTTTCACCTCTCTTGGCTGTGTGCCTAGGAGTAAGCCTCAGTCTTTTTAAAAGCTGCATAGTATTCCATCTTAAGTGTGTATGCTTGCTTAGTTGCTAAGTTGTGTCCGACTCTTTGCAAATCCATGAACTGTAGCCCACCAGGCTCCCCTGTCCATGGGATTTTCCAAGCAAGAATACTGGAGTGGATTGCCATTTCCTACTCTAGGGGATCTTCCCAAGCCAGGGATTGAACATTGGCTGGTGGATTCTTTACCACTGAGCCACCTGTATATTGTATAATAAACAAGACCCCACTTGATGGACATTTGGGTCATTTCCAATCTTTTGCTAAGACTATAGTAAACATGTCTGTAGTTAAACCTTTGTAAACCTACGTAAGTAGAATACTTTTCGAGAATGGCATGCTGGATGAAAAGGTCTATGTCTTTAAATCGGGAACATAGGGGAATTCCTGGTGGTCCAGTGATTAGGACTCCGTGCTTTCAACGCCAAAGGCTGGGGTTTCATCCCTGGTTGGGGAAGTAAGATCCAACAAGCCTCAAAAAAAAAAAAAAAAAAAAAATCTGGAACATATATTGCCAACTTGCTTTCCAAAAAGGGTCTGTCAATGTATATTTTCAAGAACAAGTCATAGTCTCACATATCCTAAGTAAACAAATTTCTCAATCATTGCTATTCTGATAGTTTCAAAATGCTCTCATGATTTTCACTCTCATCTATTTAAATTGCAAGTAACATTTGTCGTTTTTTCACATATTTATTATCCATTTGTGTATCTTTTTTTTTGTAAACTCCCTTTTTCTTGTTTTCTGAGATTTTTTTTAAGGCCTTTTTAACTAACTTATAGGAACTCTTTCTATATTAAGCAAGTTTGTCATTTGTTATAAAAATATTTATGTGCTGTGCTTAGTTGCATCTGACTCTTTGCGACCCCATGGACTGAAAGCTGCCAGGCTCCTCTGTCCATGGGGATTCTCTAGGCCAGGATACTGGAGGGGGTAGCCTATCCATTCTCCAGTGGATCTTCCCGACCCAGGAATCAAACTGGGGTCTCCTGCATTGCAAGTGGATTCTTTGCAAGCTGAGCTACCAGGGAAGCCCCAAAATATTTATAGTGTATGTTAAAATCTGGTAAAAAAAAAAATTCTTCTTTTTAATCCTTCCCACCTCCTGCCCCCTCCAGCTATTCTCACATATTTTTCCATAAGAATTTCTGAATCAGCTTTTCTAGCTCAAACACGGTTGGCAGTTACCTCTCTGGATATCTCTTCTCCAACTTTGCCTTACTCTCCAGGGTTTCTTGACCTCGGCATGACTGGCATTCTGACACAAATCTTTGTTGTAGGAAGCTGTCTGTGCCCTGCAGGGTGTTTAACAGCACCCTGGCCTCTATTAACCAGATGCCAGAAGGAACCCCGCACCTCCCACCCCCAGTTGTGTCCATGAAAAATGCCTCCAGGCATCCCCAATATCTGAGAACCCCTGACTCGCTCTCATTTAGCTACACAGGCCTTCTTGCTGCTCCTAGAGCACGCCAAGTACGCGCCTGCCTCATCACTTCCTTTAAATGTCTGCTCAAAAGACTTCCCTGCTGGTCCAGCAGTTCAGAATCTGCCCTGCAATGCAGGGGACATGGGTTTGATCCCTGGTAGGGGAACTAAGATGCCACATGCCAGGAAGCAACTAAACCTGAGAGCCACACTTGAGTCTGTACACCACAACAAAAAATGCAGCCAAGATCTGATGCAATGCCCCTCACCCAAATCTTTGCTCAAATGTTGCTACTACTCAGCCTATTTTAAATTATGACTCCCCACCCACCCCATGCTCTCTATACTGTCCTTGATTTTTCTCTCTTGCATTTCTTGCCTAATATACTATATAATATACTTCTCCAGCTCTTTGTCTCTCTCTCTCCCATCTTTAAAAATGTAAGCTGCACAAAGGCAAGAATTTTTTTGTTCACTCCTATGTTCCCCTATGCCTAGAACACACCTAGTACAAAGTAATGACTCCATACGTATTAGAGGAATAAATTAATCACGGCAGGTTTATATACTAGGTTAGATGAGAAATGCCATCTTTACAGTGTTGATCCATCTTACATAACAAAATGGCATTTTCCCACACTTTACAACTTTTTGTCCTCCTGTAAAGTTTTAAAATTTGTTACAAACAGGGGACTTCCCTGGCGGTCCAGTGGTTAAGACTCCGAGCTCCCACTGCAGTGTATATGGGGTTCGATCCCTGATCCGGGAATTAAGATCCCACATGCCTCAAGGTGTGACCAAAAATAAGAAATAAGAAATACTTACAAGTAAGAAATACTAAATGTTTTTTGCACTAAACATTTGCCCAGGTTGTTTCCCCCTATTTGTGTACTTAGGAAACTAAACTCCTCGGCTCACAGGCAGGGAGGACAGGCTGTCAGCCGGGAACCAGGCCTGGTGACTCCCTTTGTTGGTGACCCTTGGGCCTGTGGTCATGTCTAGAGGCCCCTTGCTGCCCATTTTCCCCATCACTCAGGCCAGAGAGCTTTTTCACAGGCTCCTGGTGGGGCCTCCACCTTGGCTGGGGCCCTTCCTAGGCGTCCATCTTTGTCTTCCTTCCCGAAGGGGCGCCAGCTAAGGGACATTGAAGAGACAGTGGCTCAGGACAATCCTGCTGCGTGCGGCCTCCCCGGAGACCCAAGGGCTCGTTCTGAGCTCTCGTGTGGGGCAGGTGACAGACACGCTGAGGGTGGCCTTACCTTTCCTGGTCAGCCTGACAGGAGGGGTCTGTGCTAGTGGACAGACTGTCCAGCAAGCAGGGGTGTTGGGGTGTTGGCCTGTCCTTGGCAGGCTCTGTCTGCGAGGAGAGAAAGAGGGGCCTTCCTTCCCTTTCTCTGTTTCCCAAGACCCTTCCAGATGGGCCCCTGCTCTCCACCTCGCACTGCACTCCCGGCCAGGCCTGAAGTGTGGGAGTAGTGGGGAGACCCAAGGCACAGCGGAGCTCTGGACCTCCTCCCTGGGTGTGGTCTCTTGCCTGTGGAACAATGGTCTGGGAGCTCTGGGCTGGGCACACGGGGGAGCGGGCACTTGGTGAAGGGGGTCCTCTTACATCGTCAGCCATTGCTGCTGCTCTTGGAGTCTCCTTTCTGGCAGGGGCTATGAGGATGCCCGTCAGGACCACAGGAGCCTCAGGTCCAGCCCAAGGTCAAGGTGCCCTCCAGATGGATCTGAAGCTGTGACTGGGTACCACCCTGCTGGAGTAAGACCTTTGGAAGCAGTAAGCGCCAACAGATTACGGTCCCCTCTCCTCTTGTGTGGGGCTTCCCTTGTGGCTCACCAGTAAAGAATCGGTCTGCAATGCAGGAGACGAGGGTTTGATCCCTGGAGGGGGGCATGCATTCTTGCCTAGAGAATCCCATGGACTGAGGAGCCTGGTGAGCTATGATCCATCGGGTCACAGAGTTGGATGCGACTGAACACACTCACACACACACACACACACACACACACTCTCTCTCTCCTGTTGTGTAAGTCAACACGAAATAAGATGATGTTTGGGGGGCGAGACCAGAGGCCCTGACAGTACAAAGATCTGTGTGTTGTCCTGCCTGCCCTGCCCCCCGCCAGGCCTGGGCCCTCCCGAGGTGGGGATGCGGTGACAACTCTGCTCAGAGTCTGGAGGCGAGCCAGTGGGCAGGCCTGGGCTGTCTCAGAAGCTTGGCTGCGGGGCCCTGGAGCTAGCAGGGAGGCGGGG